TCGACGGCTCCGCAAGTGCAAGATCCACTACGACCCAGGCCGGCTCTTCTACCAGAAGGATCATGGAAACCAGACACCAAGACCCAGGAGGAGGCGCTCCCGACCCCGCCAGTGATGACCCCGCCAGTGATGACCCCGCCAGTGATGACCCCGCCAGTGATGACCCCGCCAGTCATGACCCCGCCAGTCATGACCCCGCCAGTCATGACCCCGCCAGTCATGACCCCGCCGGTCATGACCCCGCCGGTCACGACCCCGCCGGTCACGACCCCGCCGGTCACGACCCAGGCCAGTGAAATGAAGACGCTGGCCGAGGTGCTGGTTTCAAGAGATCGGGAGTTGAGGATTCAAAACCATCGGGCGATGCACTCGCTGCTAGCTGACTTCAACGCACAACCGGTCTCTCTGAGAAATGCTCTGCACCAGGGCGGACGAACCGAAGATCGCCCCGACCAGCCACCTCTTTCGTGGACCACTATCTTCGTTATACTACTCATTTCGTGGATCATCACCAGTTGCTCCGCACGACCACTAACTTCCTGATCACCTCAACACACGTCAATAACACTTCAACCCAGCACCCTTCGGTCGAGCATCTTTCGGTCGGTCATTAAATCTCTATTGCAGTGGCAGTCCGAGAAAGTCAAAAGTGAAGGGAGGATCGATGACATTCCGCGGATTTAACTTGAAGAATTTTTTGCCCCGATCAAGTTCCAAGAAAGTCAAGTCCCCAAGCCAGAAAGACATTAGTAAATCTTCACCCGGCTACAATGTGTTGGTCGCTGACCCAGCCCGCTGACCCAGCCCGCTTACCCAGCACGCTTACCCAGCACGCTTACTCATCCCCTCTCTCTCCCTGGCCTTTTAAGATGCAGAATCTCCGTAGTGATAATGACACCTCGCAATTGTGGCAATGTGACGGTGAGAAGTGGTACGGCTGGCGGCGCGAGAATAGTGTCACACTCTATGTTTCATGAAGGTTAGCAGCAGAGATTGTTCCAAAAACTGTTCTTCTTGCCGGTATCATGTTTAGTCGTCTGGTTCAGATAAGAGCTATTGATACTTCTGCCAACAGGCAGTGACTCATGCGGGGCTGCCGCGAAGAGGTAGGACCCGATTGGGAACACTCTGGTTGTGTGCGGATAACTATCCAAAGACCTGATTGGTTTCTTGGGGACTCGGTCGAAGAGGGGAGATGGACTGGAGGGGGGGGCGTCCAACTCGTCGACCGGCGAGTAGGTAGTGTAGCCCGGACCGGGCGGAGAAATCGCATCGATAACCGCTGGTGCCAAGACAGGGTGGGACAGCTCGTCCGCCGGGTTTGTCTGCTCCACCGAAAGGTGTTGTTGTTCTGCAGGAACTGGCTGTTGGTGCCCCACTCGCTTTTTTTGACTATAAGCCGCTGCGATGCTCCCCTTCATGGCGCTGCACCTTTGAGGTTGCACCAACACAAAAAATAGTTAGCAAGTCACACAGTAAATCGACTTGGCCTTCGGCCGCTTCGTCAGAGCGTAGTGGTAGGGCATTTCGTATTTCGAGTGGTCTTCTACGGTATACCCGCCAATCGACTTCAGTTCCAAGCTGTCCGGAATGTTGTCGCACGCGCCCCGGCCGACTATGCGCGGTAGGCCTTTGGGCAGCGCTCCGTCGCTGCTCGTGCGGCCCAGGACCACCTCCCGGATGCTCATGTCGTCATCAGCGAGCTCGCGACCTACCGCCGCTCTAGCAACCGCTTCCCGTGTCGCGGCCTCGCGACTCGCAGCCTCGCGACTCGCAGCCTCGCGACTCGCGGCCTCGCGACTCGCAGCCTCGCGACTCGCAGCCTCGCGACTCGCAGCCTCGGTCGAACTACGGTGAGCAAACACACCGCGGGTGGTCGAGTGCC